CAACCCCATGCCTAGAGCGATTCCAAAAAGGAGTGAGCGCTGTTCAACGCACAGTTGAATGAAAGTGTGATGTCATCACACGCTCGTGAAGCTAATCGAGTATGCATTTTTTAAAATGTTACACTTGTTGCGTTTGTTCTATTTGTGTGAACTGCTACATTGGTTATATTTGTTAGTTACATTTGTCACATTTGCTTATTTGTGACCTTTATTATATTGGTTACACATGCTCCGTCATGCAAGATGCACCTCAATCGCAACTTGGGCTGACACATAGCATTTGCATGCAGTACTGCTTCAAATTCTTTCAACACTGGCAGATTGGGTCTCAGGTGGCTGGGCAAAGATGTCACCAGCAGCTTCAACGAGGTAGACTTTTACAACGAGATCCTCCATATGCGGCGCCTGTTGCAGCAGGACATGTTTGGCTTTTATGCGACGCTGCCTCGATGCCGTTGGTGTATGTTCTCTAGTTCTCCAGTCCCACAAAGTTGATAAAATAGAGATAGATATTTCCTGCAGTGGTTTCAATCCGACTGCCTCACGACATGCAAAAGCGGAAAACAGTATTACATAGAGTTAGAGTCGTCACTTTGATTTGAAAAGCACGTGGTGTCGGCCAAGAGGTGTTTGGGTCAACAGGTACTGGCTGGTGCAGTTGTGTGTACTGGCCATTTGTTGGTTGTGCCACTGCAAGCGCGCATGACTAGTGGGACCAAACCGCAGGATGTCCCAGCAGTGGGACGGATGTTGGTCATGGCGAAACTGCCTGTGCGCAGGATCCACCTCTTCAGCCAGTGCTGCCGAAACTGTCTGAGACTGAATAATGAATATGATGAGCGAAGTGCAACTGGTCATGACATATCATGACCAGGATCCACGAATCTTTCAGACCAAGCAAGATGTTCCCAATACATTTGTTGACTTGTTTGTCAAGCAGCTTCCTGGATAGAATATTCTTAGAGCAATATTTTCTTGTTATGCCTCATTTTGCAATATTTAGGGCCGAGCCAACTGAGTTATTTTTGATGGCAAAACTCGGCTGAGCGCTCTGACCCAATTCACAGGTCAAACGTGTTTTTTGGTTTTCGCTCATTTCGTCAACCGCCAACTAAGGGGGCAGCAGGACGGGACCTCAGATGTGTTTGCAATGGAAGCCAGTGACGCTGGTGGATTTGGTATCATTGGATGATGCATTGATTTGGTAACATCAGGTAGGGCATCTTCATTCCTCTGTCAGTGTGGTAAAATAATTCCACTTTTGCAGCATCACATACAACATGAAGTGATGGACCCTTTTGGGACTTAATTATGTCGTATATTCCTGATATGAGCCCAGCCCAGCCCAATCGCATGAAAGACCTTGTTTTGGATCAACAGTTGAGCTGCACATTCTGCAGGTGAAAGAGGAAGATCTCAGTCAGACAGGTCCATGGGGCATTGTGGACTTTATGGTCAGCTGAAGCCTTAGCATCCTTGGAAGTCAAAAGGGCTTGCCGTTGGCCACAAAAGTGTCTTTGTGGGAACTCAAAGGGATTTCGGAGGTCAACATGATCCGCCAGGATTGCATGAGGTGAGAACTCCTTGAATTTCCTTGAACCAATCTGAATTGAATGTGCAGCTGATCCGAGGTTATCATGGGCTTGCCCGGTCCTGCACATGCTCATGGGTTGCAGACGGTCGTGAGTTTGACTCTCAGCTTCCAGACGGTCGTGAGACTGTAGTGGATATAGCGGGCAATACACCACCGGTAAAGCAGCAAGCAACTTCAGATTTCCAGACAAATGATCGGGAAAGCAGCTTTCAAATTTCCTGTCTCCTCCCGCAGTCCCTGAAAAGGTGTGTGCTCTGCAGGCTTCCTGGGCCCCTAGCTCTTGACGTTCTTGACGGCTGCTTTGTTTGTGCTGCATAGACTCCAGGTGATCACGCATTCCTAAGTTTTTTTGCGATGGGCGGTTGCCTTGCTCTTTGGTAACTTGCACTTCTTCCCTCCCAGGCGACAACGTGTGGCTGACTTGCTGGTCTTCCGGAGCCCCTTTGAGGGACTAGCGCTTGGATGCCCGGAACTGGAGTCCTGCCAAGCAAGGCCCTGTTGCTTGGTTTGTCAAGGATGCCTTGGTTGGACATCCTGTGCTCCTACTGCTAACTTCTAGTGGCTTTAGCGCCGAATCCTATTGGGAGAAATCGTGGAAGGACCAGGATCAACCCTAGAATGCCTGCAGGATCCAAAGACCAAGAATACAAGTTATGAAGTCGAAACAACTCATGGAACAGCCACAATCTATGCCTCATCCGGACCTCCAAACCCTACAAGAAGGATAAATAAACCTTCACAAAAAGGCCACCTTGATCAGCAATGCGGCCTCTAGGCGACCTCGGATGCTTCATTTAGAGTTGGGTCCTAGAAGCTTGGCCGGCAGCCGAGCGGCCACTTTCGGGTCTGGGGGGTCGAAAGGCTTTGACATGCTTTGATGCTGATAGTTTTCCAAGTCGACAACATTTGACACGTGAGGCTTTTTTGTGGTAAGATCTCAGCTGAAGCATTGCCACTGGAGAAGAACACGCTTCAGCTTTGCCACGCTTTCGCACGCTTTGCTGCTCCGAGGCCCTTCAGGCACGTCATGAGAATCAGATCTCCACAGGCATCCTTGCGCGCCAGGAGCTTCAAATACGACATATGACGGATTCCTTGCATTCATTGTTAATTACTTTCCTTGGCTGCGCCTGTTGGCTGCACCTGTTGGCTGTGCCTGTTTGCTCCACTGCGCTTACTCCGCCGCTTTTGCAGGAAGGGATCTTCGTTGATGGCTTCCTTTCACCACCGGAGAGCATCTCCAGCGAAGGCCCTACTTTGGACCTACGAGGCGACCTGTTGGTTAGCCAGGTCCAGACTTTGGACTCGAATGGGCAGAATGCGGTGTCTGAAATGGGTTCAGTCTTTGAAGTCAGTTCAAATTGAACTCCCTTCATCACAAGTCACAAGTGACTTCTGATCGAGGCATACACCTCACATCCTTCACATCCTATCGCAGGCTGGTCCTGGGGCGACAATACGCAACGACGAGCCAAGCGGCTTCCGCTTCAACGGATGCAACTCTCCCAGGCCGCTGCGGCAAAGCCTGGCTGTGAGTATCCAGTATCCGTTCAATCCTTCAAGACCTACTAGCGATGGCCTCCTCCATTCAGATCAATTTTTTTAAAGATTGTCACACACACACAGGCTTGATGAATGGTGCGACTCATTGGTCTAAAGTTATTTACGTTTGGTCCAGTCAAGTCGCCTAAAAGAACCAGTAGCAGCCTCAACATGCCGCAGCCGATAGCCCACCCTTTGATCCCTATCTTCAGGCGCTCAGTAGCCTCTTGGATTTACGAGCGGCTATTGCAGAGGACCATGCGCTACTTAGTTGGGAGACTCTTCTGATGAATGCCAGAGACTTCAATGGATGACATCACCCTTCCAGGAGCGTTTTTGGCCGAGCGAGGACAGCTTTGTGAGTGTCTCAGACAACGTGCTCAGCCAATGTGTTGCTGAAACTGCCTCTGTGTTGACAGTTATTCTGGTTTGCTTGGAGCTTGACAGCTTCATCTCCCCCAGATGGAAATGAATTACTGTGAAGAATCCATGCACATTAAGTTTGGATTTTTGTAACTGTCGGCCATGAGGATGACTTAGCATATTGAATTGGATATATATATATATAATATACACATATAGTTGTGTGAAGGTGTGCGTTAGGGTGAGGTGTGCTCAGGTCCCTGCACGACCTGGAGCTCGAGGCAAGGCGGACTAGCAACCCCTGAGCTTTAGTCCACAGGTTTGGCTCACACTCGAAGACTCCAACAGGCTCCAGACAAGCCAAGAAAACTGGAATCCCTGTCGCCTGCTTTTGCACCAAGCGTGTTGGAGGTGCGGATGCATTCCTTCACAACTTCCTATGTGCGGCTGAATATTCAGAGCTGGCCTTGCTGGCATTTGTGTATGAGACTCAGATGCTCTTCTCCGAGCATGTTTGCCATGTTGATTTTGGGTTCCCGTTCATCTACACATCATGCCAACTGTGGTATTGCGATTCTACGCTTTGCGCAGTTTGCTTCGACGCGCATGTTCACACGGGATTGAAGCATGCATTGTGTGTGTCATTGCTTGTCACTACAACATTTGCTCCAGAAAGTTTTCATTGCAGTAGGTCCGCGACAACTGACTTGGATACTTTGCTTCACTGCTTGTGAGGTGCGAGCTTTCACGGCTGCTGCGAGCATGCGAGGAGGTACCAGTGCCACAGAAATGGGCTCGGGTCCCAGGACATGAGCATTGGTGCATGCGCCAGCATGCTCAACCAAAGCCGGATCCAACAGATTAGTCTGGGAAGTTGCTTGAAATTACTGAGCCCAACGTCGGCCGATTTGCTAACGTGCTCTCAACAAAGGTTGGCGGAACAAATGTAAGGTGTTTGACGGTTTTTGCATGCTCTTGCATATTAATTTGCAGGAAAGTTCGAAAACTATGGAAAACTGTGTAAAGCACATGAAAGCACGAGATTGATGAACGGGCATCACCACTAGCACTTTGCAGCACCGCTGGAAGCCTTCTGATCTCATTGCTTGTTTTCAAGTGAAGGGTTGAAGTCGCCCCTTCTTTTTCCATTGATTGCATCGGCGAGGTGCAAAGCTCCCTGGCATTGCTGGTGGAGGTTTGGGTCATGGGTTCCACAGGGCACAGACGATTCATGAGAGAAACAAGATGCCCAATCGGCAGGAACCAAACAGTCTTGCCTTTCCTCTTTCGAAGCTGGCACTGAGTCAAGAAGTGTAAACAGCGAGACCGAAGCCCCAACATTGAAGTTTGACCGAACTTACTTTCAAAGCTTGTCGGGATGTCCTGGCCCAAGCGTGGTCCCATTTTGCCCGATCGGTGGCGCTTGTCATGAAAATTGAAGCATGTGATGATATAACGACTCTCGGCTCTGTGTCTAACTATGGAGGCTCCGTGTCTACCTCTGAAGGCAACGGCAAGCTACCAGTCACTTTGCTAAGTGGCTTTCTGGGAGCGGGCAAAACGACGTTGCTGACTCATGTTCTGAACAACCGTGAAGGCATCAGAGTTGCCGTTCTGGTGAATGATATGGCATCTGTGAACATTGATGCACAGCTATTACAGGACCATGTTCAGCTTAGTGAAAGTAAGGATAAGATGGTCGAGCTCCACAACGGCTGCATCTGTTGTACATTGCGTGAAGACTTGATCGAGAGCGTTCGTGCCTTGGCCCTGGAAGGGCGCTTTGACTACCTTCTCATCGAGAGCACAGGCATCTCGGAACCGATGCCGGTCGCCGCCACCTTTGCAGCGACCGACGCCATGGGAGTTCCGATGCTTGGAGGTGTAGCGGAGCTGGATACACTGGTGACGGTGATCGACTGCCTGAATTTCCTGAAAGATTACCACTGCAGGGACAAGGCTGTGGATCGAGATGAGCTGGGAGCTGAAGCGACTGACCAGCGAAGCATAGTAGATTTGCTGGTTGACCAGGTTGAGATTGCTAATGTGCTGGTCCTCAACAAAACAGACCTGGTATCTGCCAAAGAGCTTGAGTGCCTGAAGAGAATCTTCCACAAGCTGAACCCGAGTGCGCGCTTGATAGAGAGTCAATTTGGGGCGGTGAAGCCCCAGCTTCTGATAAACACGCGGAGCTTCGATCTGCAGACTGCCAGCCTGCTGCCAGGATGGGTGGCTGAGTTGCAAGGCCGCGGGAGTCAGCACACGCCAGAGACTGAAGAGTACGGCATCTCCAGCTTCATCTACCGCAGGCACTTGAGTTTGACATAGTTTGACTCGTTGTTCAAGAATGTTCCTTCTTTCGATCTCAGTAGCCATGACATGTGGACTTCCATTGTCATGATTCTGACGCCCCTCCCACCAATGCAAGCACCTCGCAGGATGTGCCCTTTCCACCCGGATCGCTTGGAGGGCCTGGTGGGTGGCGCTTTCCCCGGGGTGCTCCGATCTAAAGGCTTTGCGTGGTGCGCCAGCCAGCACGACACCTCCCTGGAATGGAGCCAGGTGGGTGTTACTGTGCAGTAATGGCGGGCGGGCCTCGGAAGTGTGCTTATCAATTGTTGAAAGTCATGGAGAATCCTGTAAAACCTTGTATCATGACTGCCAAAGACCATGTTGACAGACCCACCGAGCCGAGGTTGGATATTTTAAGAGGTGGAACAATAGGGACCTGACGAATCTGGTATTGGGACCCATATGGACCCATTACCCCTACCCCTACCCATGGGTACGACCAAGCCCATGGTGCCAGGCGGGCGCAGTGATGAGCCTCACCGAGGGCTATGCCTGGCGACAGCTTCAGCTGCCAGTGATAGGCCAGAAATGGGGACATCTCAAGATTATGATCCCATTTTGAAGTTGTTATGATTAAAGATTCCCACATTTCCAGGATGAGCAGTTACTGACCTTGAAAGAACCACCAGCAAGCTGGGGGTGTGGGAGGGGCCGTTGGTCAACGAAGGTTGCTCAACCGTGACTTTGGAGCAGTTTGGGGCTGAACTCGTGATCCTCCAAGCCACAAAACCATCAAATCATGGCAGGTGAGGCAGGGAAGGAGGTTGACTATTACAGTGGCAGGCGACAAGAGCTCCTGAGCTTTTCTTGGAGATGGTTTGGATTTGTTTTGCATAGTTCCCGAAAACGGACTTAATTGATTGACTCCTGGTACTTTGTGGTCAAGCTCAAGCACAATATCATCCAAAAAAGAACATAGATTAAATATGAATATCGATTAATATCACTTTGTCTTACTTTCATGGCCGAGGCTTGTTTTCATCGGCGCCCACATGCAGGAGAATGAGATCCGGCAAGCCCTTGACAAGGCCTTGGTGACCGATGAGGAGTTCGCATTGGGCCCCTCCAAGTGGTCTTCTTGGAAGAAGCTGGTGACACCAAATCATCAACATCACGGACATTCTTCCTGCGAAGAGGGCTGCCAGCCCGAGATTGAAGAGTGGTCCGCTATGATGCTTGACTGGTTTCCCGAACTCGTCGATCCGGAGATCCTGGCGCGTCCGGACGTGGCGATCAGCAAGCTCAGTGACCAGGAGCTGAAGGCAGCCCTGTCGGTACGCGGCATCGAGTTCGGAAAGGACGAGGAGCGGCAAGCGCTTGAAGAGATGTTGCGACCGCATTGGTGACCATCAACCTTTCCCACCCAACAGAAACTAGCCATGGGCCAGGCACTAGCGAGATTTTGGTGAGCACATCAGCACATTGTGCGACTGCAGGCTCAATTCTCGTAATTGCGGAGGGGTTTTGTTTCAGTAATTCATTACGCAACTGCATTGTGCTTCAGAAGCAGGCTGCTAACCAGTGCTGGCTTTGTATCTTGCTTTTGGCTACATGCTGCAAGAAAATGTGGCGTGAACACAGCAATGATCAGAGCCCACGTCAATTTCAATGCCGGGCAAACAGTTTTATAGTCCATATTTGCAGAAGGCAACTTTGATGATTTGTTTGTGACTGCCTGTGGAGCTGGAAAACGTCTAGCTTGCAGTTGTTTGTTCATCTATATATACAAATAAAGTTTCCCAAAACATCTAGGAACCAAATCATTAAGCCTGATCCCTTCTGCATCCAAGCCTAAGAAACTACTTAAGCTTTAGTAGCTACTACCTACTCGCCTTTTCTTTTCGCACTTTGCTAAATCAAATCGAGAACTTTTCGTCCCAGCTTCCGTCCTCTTCCGTTCGCCCCCTCCGGTCAGTCTCAGGCGGGGGTCGCTCCACCACGGCGCGGGCCCATCCAGCCTGAGACGTGGGTGACTTCACGAGTGAAGTCCGGAGACCCGAAAGGTCCAAACCGGGACCGGGGACGGCGAACGAAGACAGCGGAAGGAGTGGTCTTGGATGGTGATGGAAGGATGATGGTGGGATGTGATGGGATGTGATGGGATGTGATGGGTGTTGGTATGTGTGTTGAGTTCAGTGGATGAAGGTGTGGGATAATGATTTTTTGTGATTCCTTCATGGTCGTTTTGGCAACTTTCCCGCTGGAGAACACTGAATGCCGGGTCTAGTGATTCAGATCGAGGGAAGGGATGCCACTGTATGTGCTGGCATTCTGTTACACAAATCTGCGCAGGCAGGCCCAAAGGAGTCTGCGCTTCACGTGCTTGACTGCAGGGTGCAACAGGAGGGTTGACATGTCGAATTGAATCCTCAGGATTCAGATCCTTGGCTGGAGCAAGAGCAGCCTGAGCCTGCCGGGCTCGACCACGCAGGATGAGCGCCAGGCCGGAATAGAATGCAGTTGACAGCTACTAGTATTGTACACAGTGTTTTTCTGTCTGTCCGTCCGTCCGTCTGTGTCTTTTCAAGAACATCACGGAATAGTCTTCTGCTCTGACGTAAGGTCTATGAATGATGTCAGTGGAACTGTAGAGCCCATTCGGCTCTGAGGACAACGAGCTTCCATGGCAGATCTACCAGCACCATGTTGGCCAGCATCTCAGAGCTTGATTCCTAAGTTGCAAAGGATTTCACTTCCAATTGGCAGAGTCAGAAAACACTGGATGATTGCCCATCCCCTTGACTCTTTAAATGCGTGTTTGCAGCACAAGTTCTGCCTTGAAGTGGCCCATGTTACTGCACCCACTGGACCATAGCTGTGAGCTCTTGTAATCGGAATGACTTTGCGCAGTCGTACACCGTTGATTCAGCCGACAGCGATGCATTTACCCACAGCTTGTGACCACGTTACAAAGGCAGAGTTTTGTGGGAGTCTGCGCGGCTCTATTTCCATAGCTTCTGCGCTGAGGAGCATCTTTTTGTTATTTTTGTTTTGTCAAGTGTACAAACTGCTTGGGAAACCATTATATAAGCGATTAGGGACACATCAAATATGCACTTGCATCGGTATGTTGGAGATCTGAATTGATAAGTAGTAAGTAAAGGCTTACAATTTATCTTGCAGGATCCCTAGCTGACTAGACCGGATTGTCCACACGAGAAAGATGAGAAAGCAAGCAGCAATGCATATCCATCCATTCGACACGAATTCGCTGGTTGTTAGGAGTGGGTGAAGTTCACAGTGCAGCTTTGCGAGGTGTCCAAAGGCATCAGGTTTGTTTCTTCGTGTTTGCTTGAGAAACTTCCCAAGATGCCTGGTGTGGGCGATGTAGGATTTGCAGCGATCCAACATCCTTGCTCTCAGCCTTGACAGTGCCAAAAAACTACATGGATTGCTTGTGTGTGTTTGAGCTTTTCAGGTACTACTTTTTCTTATTTTACTTTCTTTTTGTAGAGGGTACCTAAGGATCCTACGGTACCTTTCAGATCTTTTCAGGGTAGTATTATATACAGATATACTGTAATGCTTCAGGGCTTTTGAACAGAGTTCCTCTTCAGATCTCTTCAGGACCTGCAGACTTCCTCTTTGCGTTGTCTCCATCCTAAGAGCGATGGCCTCCAACCCTATATAATAGCAATGGCCTCCAACCTACTAGCGATGGCATCCACCCTACTAGCGATGGCCTCCAACCTACTGCAGAGCTCCTCTTGCGTTTTCCGTTTCAGGTGGAAGCAGCCTCCTGGGCACTGCAGAGCTGAGCAGCTTCGGCGTCGGCGGCCGAGATCAGCCGCATGGACACGGCGACATACGATGTAGCTTATTGTTTCTAATAGCTTCTTGTCACTACTAGTAAGGCACTTGTTACTAGAAGCGATGCACTTGTTTCTAGTAGCTTTGTAATTGATAGTTGTTTTATATGTTGTTAACGTATATAAAAAGCTGCATGTAAATAGATGTAAATAGCATGGCACTGGGCATGAAAGTCAAGAAGACTCACTTTGCACAATCCTTCGCAAGCAAATGCAACTCCTATGATCTATATGCCAAGACAAACTCCCTTTTGTGAAGAGAGATGTCCTTCATCATTAATCATTCCATGTTCGTTCAATCGACTCGGAGCTTTAGAGCTACAAAGACACAGGACTGCAAACGCTACATGTTGAAGTTGAGGCCTGTGAGTCACGTACTCTCAAGCTACACAAAGGACTCCGGGTTGTCTCGCCGTACCGGCAACACGCCGCATCGCCGCACAAAGTGTTCCCGCACCGCAGAAGACGGTGTGTGCAAAGATACGTAAAGCAGCATCGAAGTTCAATGCACAAGTCTTGTTGCCGACAGCAATGCCGTCAGCCATCGGTCTTTGCCTACTCAAAGTGCACGGAAAATGATGCTTCAACCTTGAAGAGGACCACCCACAGACTCGGGGAATCTGTGAGAGCTGATTGTGTCCTTGGGAGCCCGTTGACGGCTTTATGATAATGTAGCGAAGTCGAACATTGCAGTAAACTCAATGACTCACTGTAGCACCGAAAGTTGAATACCGAATGCCCTGTGGGTTGCCTGATTGTTGAGTTCATTCAGGTGATTGTGAGTCTTTGGCAAGGACACGCTCCTTGGCCGATGGCCTTGCCAGGAGACACACCTCTCACCAACAGTATGGGGCGGCCCACACAGGCCATTCCATGCACATTTCCCGCTTTCGAGATCGATTCCTCAAACTTTACAGTATTCTGCCATCGTTCTTTTTTGGGGGGTCATCAGGTAGTGGTGACCTTGAAGTTCTTGCCCTTGCCAGAGCCCTCGAACTTCACTGGACTTTGGTCAGCCTCCAAGATGCGGGCACGGGTCACTTGACTGTTCAGCCTCCAAAGTCCCCACGTCGAGACCTGCACTCCACACATGTCAGTCCTTCACATCGACGAACGAACGAACGCCACGAGCTTTCTCAAAAAATCTGGCGGACAACAAACAACTGGATCAGGAGACTGACACCATTCCTTTGGCTCTCAAAGTCCACGAATGCCACTCTGTTTCAGGCAGCGAGATCATTGAAAGGATACCCGTAAAGGCTACCTCTTTTAGCTTATGCAAAGAACTTTTGGCCTTTGACGTGTTCCAGATTCCAGCTGGTCTCTAAGGCAAGCTCAGGTGGAGCGTGCCGAACATGTGGAAGCCGGAAGCTTAAGGGTGAACTGACCAGTGAAGCTGCAGCTTCGCGTCTGTGAAGCGTCTGTAAAGTGGATGTTGGAGGATTTTGGGCATGGACTTCCAGGAATCCTGGACTAAAAACCCATTCAATTTGGACTGTTTGTGGCTATCCCAGGTTGGATAGTCTTTGTGGTTCCTGAGGTTGGAGCTGATAGTCTTTGTGTGATGCTTACAGCTACGAGCAGGGGTGCCCGGGGTATCTCAACTATCTCAGCTGCTTGGAGGTTGCAAAGGACAATGCTTAGAGGGCTCACAAAGCGAGGGGTTAGGGTTGCATTGCATGTTTCCAGAAAAGACCTATAGAAGATTCAATCCGTATCATAGAGTAATTTCATGTCTTTTGATATCTTTTGCAAGAGTTCATCTAGCTGCCGAGGCCGCCAACATAGCATGAGCCACAGGACCCGAGAGGCCCGGCTTCATTTTTGAGATCCAGACCTTGTTTCCGTGGTCCAGCTATACTGGAACAGCTGCGTCTGTTCGCAGCAACACCATTTTTTCTCTTTTATTTTCTGCTTGTACTCTATCTTTTTTTGCTTTTATTTTTCCTTTATCACCAGTTTGTTTTCATTTTCTTGTCTCTATATATATGTCTTGTTTGTCACAGTGGCTTTTCGGCGAACCTCACCGATAGCCTTGCCTATCGTTCTAGGTGCCAAATGCGGCGGAGGTGTCCTGGAACGAGGAGTTCGAATTCCCCATCATTCCGGTGCGCTGTGCTCTTTCCTTTTTTAAGGGGGGTTAGGCCGCTAGAGGTGAGGTAGGTAGGTAGGTTAGCTAGGGAGTCGGTAGCTAGTAGGTAGCTGCTACCGACAAGACGCAGGACCCTCCCTGAGATGTCCTCATGGAAGCTGAGCAGGGCCTACTTGTAGAGAATTGAAAATGGTTGGAACCCAAAGGCCGACCTGTTTCACTTCCATGATTGTTTCAGACTGTTTGATGTCACGGAAGGTCATGTAAATGTAGACAGTTGATTCATCACCTCCCCCCTTGTTCTGGACCGTAACACCCTCTTCATAATCTCGGGTCTATTTTTCAACAGGCTATATACATGATTTTTGTTGGTTCAATTTGGGGACTGGGGGAGTTCTACAAATTCATGGAAAACCACCATGCCATGTGCCTGGCACATCGGGAACTGCTTGGAGTATCCACGACCAGATCGGGCACCTGGCCGTCGACTGCGCCTGCCGCTCTGGACCTGGTTACACAAGGAAGGTGACCCAACAAACGTTACCGCCGCCCCCAGTAATTATAACATATATATATATATCCAAAAGAAAAGGGGAGTTTTGACGATCCAAAACTGCTGTTTGTAACTTTTGTAACTCTACTCTCCAAGTCTACTTTTGTTGTTTCACGACAACAGGTGGATCGATTGCTTTCCCCCCGCCGCCCTGAAGGCGGCGGGGAAGCTTCCTTGAAGAAGTACTCGCACAAATGATTTTGTTTCTAGATTTTTAGGGAATGTTATATAACTAGTGATTTAGTTCGATTCCTTTTGCTTCCTTTGAGCACAAGAACTTGGTGCTCATTTGTTTGGTGGCCACACAGTTGTTACTGCTCATTATGCAGGCAGATACCAGAACAAAGTGCTTGGAGGTCTTGTTGTTCCATGTTTAGAATATGACATAATCTGATCATTGAATCACCAAATGAGCACTTCAACTGTGCTCGTTCTCGTTCGATCTTATTCTGGACCTCTATTATCCATATATGCACTCTCCGCGGCGTGAAAAAACGCTTGCCAAAGTGGGCGGAAGTTCGCCGCAGGTGGGAAAGGAAGCTGCTTCCGGTCAGCGACTTTTGGAGGCAAAGTGGGCGGCAGACTGGCACATGGTTCCTTTTGAATTCAGAACGATATACTATCAAATCGAATGCAGAAGGATTAAAATGAGTAGATGAGTGTTCAGTGACATGCATTCCTATGAGAGGGAGGTGCATTGTGCATCATTCTGCGATTGGCATGACTTCGAACAGTTTTCCTACCTTAGTACTGGGGCCCCAGAGGAAGCTACCTTTGGCACACTCTGTGTGGAACGTTTGCTTTTAGCTGGTCAATGTGTTGACTATACTTGACTACTTGAGGTTGACTTTGGATTTGCAGTTTCACTGCGAACTACTGAGGGTTCAAGGAAGTGTTGCTGGAGCTGGGATGTTCTGAACTGGGCTACCGCAGTAGCGTGCAGCATGAAACTCAGCTCAGGCCTTGGGACAGCCGACAAAGAGCATCACACAAGAGGTGCCAGGGCTGTGATGCAAATGTCGCTACCACCTAAAGGGGTGGCACGTGTGAGAGTGGCACTTTAGCTTCCGCCGTCCAGCCATTTTCTGGGTGAACAAAAACAGAAAGCAGGCTCACAGACCACTTTTTTCCAAGGCTCTGACAGAAAGCATGGGTTTGAAGGGAGGCTTGGCGAGGCATTTGCCGCCGTGGCTTGGAAGCGGAATAGACATAGTGGCTGCACTTGTGGAGGCCATCGCTAGTAGGTTGGAGGCCATCGCCCATCGCACTAGTTGGAGACCATCGCTCTTAGGATGGAGGCCATAGCTAGTAGGGAGGAAACATATTAGTGACAACACTACACGCTGTTGGCTGTAGCGTGGTTTTCATAGTCATACTGTCATACTGCCAATTCCTGTTGCACAGACCTATACCTCGTTGCAGCCAACAAATAAATGCCATTGCTTAGTGATAGCTAGCTCTTGACACGGTTTGTGTGCCCCGCCTGTGTATAAATAGAGACACTCAGACGCTCAGACACAGAACGGGTGCATAGCTTTGGACGACAAGAGCCCTCACTGACTCACCACCTCTACTCTTGCCAAGGTTGGTCTTCGAAGAGGGCAAGAAGGCCAGAGCGCTTCACATATCATACAGTCAAATGCACCGGAACACTGTCAATATCATGCTTGTAAATGCAGCATGCATACAATTTGATATTCAAATTGTAGTGATTATTGGTGGGCATTTCCGACTTAGGAAAGCATCCAGTAACAAAACCGAGACGGAGGAAGTATGAACCGGACCACCAACCACATAAGGGGATCCATGCTAGGTTCCACCTAACCAGGTACTGCTCGCACTCGCTTCTTTGCATGGATTTGCCATCCTCCCTGGCCAACCTTGTCAGCGTGGGTAGGAAGATCCACGAGCTGCCAGCGCTGGACAAGTGGCTTTCATCGCCGAGTTGCGTTCCGGCCGGAAGTTCTGGACGTTCATGGGATCAGCAGAAGCTGCAGAAAATTATACTGGTAGTGATAGAGAGGTACTCTGTCTTTGGTGTTACCAGGAATCGAGTCATTTGAGGCTAGAAACACTATTGCCCACCCACCTCCCTGCTCCTTTGCGTCCTTGAGCTGTTGTCACAGATTCTTAAATCTTTCGTCAGGCTGGTATGAACCTCGGTGTGGTTTGCTGGACAACAACTACTGAGCGCCACGGGTGATTCTTAAGGCGGCAGTGCTCGGCCCACGTAACGTATGCGGAAAGGAGCTTTGACCATCCAGGACCTCCCCGTTTCGTAGACGTTCCACGTTCAGTAAGGCTTTGTCACAAATGTGAACTGGGAAAGTCCGTGTTGACCGGTGTTGACCATCCTTGACCGGAAACGGACAGGGCTTACTTCAACCGAGCGACTTCGCTCAAGGCGAATTTTGCTGTGAATATTAGTAGATCGTAGCTGCCGCCCACTGTCTTGCGCTGCGTGAAATTAAAGTGGGCAGAAAGGCCATGAAAGATTTGTGCGAGCGGGTCCTATCTTATGTTGGAATTGTTGACTCTCTCGACTACAGCTTCCAAAGGCAGCATTACTATTACTATTGCCAGTCAATCCAGGAAGGCACCTAATTACTTGTAAAGTCTTGTAAATAGATTTCAAGGATGCACTTGTTCCTTTTGAGGTTAGTTAGTATATGTTAGTATTGAATATGCAGGAATGTTAGCCATACTGTTCCTTTGAACAAAATTTGAAGACATGACAAGTGGTTTCCCAGTCATTCGTCCTTTTTGGAGAATCATGTTGCAATGGCATAGTCCAAAATGGTTTAAGTGCGAAAGAAGCTGTCTTAAAAACCAAGGGCCACAGGGCTTACTGACTTGAGTTTGGTGGACTCGCAAAGCTCATCTAAGTTGAACAACCAATGTAAGACCTTTTTATGACATCTCTGACATTCTATGCATCCTTTTGCAACCTACCAAGAACCATCTCTCGTCTTTTCATCTCGTTCTTCTGGGCTCTGAGTCGGGGGGTTCCGTGCCCTTTCGGGCGCGATGTTGGCCCCAGCGAGGGAGCCCAGAACATCGACCCAACCGAAAAAGCTCCGTTTGTAGCGTCCTTGTTCCTAGTAGCGATACCAGGGGCCCCTAGTAGCGTCCTTGCTCCTAGTAGCGATACCAGGAGCCCCTAGTAGCGTCCTTGCTCCTAGTAGCGATGCCAGGAGCCCCTAGTAGCGAACCTTGTTGGCAGAAATGCAGCGTTGCCATGAAGTTGCAAGATTGAATGTGACTGCCTAGTTGCACAGAGGCAGACACGCACATTGGTATGCACAGTCACACACACACATGCACACGCACACACTTATGGATATGCGTACTGACGGACAGCGGTGCCACACGCCGGCCTAGGGTGCCATTTCCTAAGGGTACAAGTAATAACCACGGATCCTGGAGGTCTTCAAGAGGAAATAGGGCCAAACTCGCAAGTCGAAAACGAAACGACAGGGTGACGACGTAGCGTGCAAGTCTGCGGAACTCAACTCAGCAAATGTTAAAAATCAAGCAGGTACGTGGATTCTGCGTCCAGAATCCATATCAGTGACTTGTAACAGCCTCTTCGTTGGACTGCCACTGTTACAAGCCCAGGAGTCCCCCTGCTCATTGTAAAAAAAGAGCAATTCAAAAAAGTCCCTGTGACAACAAGTGCACAGCAACATCGTGAAACACTTCAAGATTTGTGCGTGTCAATCCTTTACACTGCAACATCGTGGTACACTTCAAGATTTGTGAGTGTCATTCCTTCACAATTCAAAAGAATCCCTGTGACTACAAGGGGCACACACACACACGCCTCCCCGAGGGGAGGCAAATTTAAGGTGCCGACAGAGTAGTAGTAAGGCCAGGAACCCCAAGTAGCGTCAAAGTAGCGTCCGAGCACCTAGTAGGAAGGCCAGGAGCCCCTAGTAGCATCCCACTCTGAAGGTCCAGACAGGAGGGAGGGGTAGGGAGAGAAGAGAAGGGTGGGGGGAGAGAAGAAAGGAAGGTGTTCCCAGCTACGACACAAGCGTCCAAGGACACACCAAAAGAAGAGAGGAGAAGGGTTCCCAGCTATGACGAAAGCATCCAGGGACACCCAAGGAAGAAGGAAGGTGAAGAGAGGAAAGAAAGAAAGAAAGAAAGAAAGAAAAGAAAGAAAGAAAGAAAGAAAGAAAGAGGGAGAGAAAGGGAGAGGAGAGAAAAGGAAAAAAAGGCAGGTGTTCCCAGCTACGAACAATCGTCCAGGGACACACCAAAGAAAGAGAGGGGTGATCCTGAATATTCCATTCAGGAAAACCCCAGAAAGCAAAGAAAGAAATGGGGAGGGCTCCATCGGCGCCAAGCCAGCGGGTGAGGGGGACATGGCTGGAAAAGGAGGGAAGGTACTCATCGCTCTGAAATACTAAGTCGCCGACAGGTTCCAATGAACCGTAAACTGGCTTTGACCGCTATGGTCACCTTGTGCCTTGCCAAAATGGCTGGCTGCTTTGACCGCTGCGGTCACGTAAAGGCATGAGCCAGCTTGGAATTCCAAAAATGAGACAAAAATCTGAGTTCTCTCGGCCTAGGCCACCTTCGCCCGCTCTGGGCACTTACGGGCATGGGAGATAACGACAGACACCCGTTCGACGGGTCCACGGGAGGCACTCTACGGGCTCATCCCGGACTCTCACTGGGAGAGACACACTTATGGATATGCGTACTGACGGACAGCGGTGCCACACGCCGGCCAAACTCGCAAGTCGAAAGCGAAACGACAGGGTGACGACGTAGCGTGCAAGTCTGCGGAACTCAACTCAGCAAATGTTAAAAATCAAGCAGGTACGTGGATTCTGCGTCCAGAATCCATATCAGTGACTTGTAACAGCCTCTTCGTTGGACTGCCACTGTTACAAGCCCGGCAGTCCCCCTGCTCACTGTAAAAAAAGAACAATTCAAAAAAAGTCCCTGTGACTACAAGTGCACAGCAACATCGTGAAACAAATCAAGATTTGTGCGTGTCAATCCTTTACACTGCAACATCGTGGTACACTCAAAAGAATCCCTGTGACTACAAGGGGCACACAGACATACATATGAATCTGTATATGTATATATGCACTCTTTCATGCATAATGACACCTAGCTTGGGTCCGTGGCGAATGGTCGACATACTTTCGACATGATTTGGGTCCGCCGCGGTGTTTTTCTAAATGGGATCCCTTCGAAAGAGGTGAGCTGAACCTAAAAAGTACAACAGTAACAGGATTAGCAGCAGAATGGGAATAACCATCCTTCGCCCAAGAACCATCCTCCGGGTGTTCCAAGACCTGTCTTTTCTGGTAATTTCGGTTTGTCGATACTTCAAAGTGACCCGGTAAGCGGGGCAATAGATGAGGGCTTTGCGATGTTTGTGACAGGCTCCCCTTGACTCCCCTTGTGTAGGTGCCGTGAGGAAAAGAACAACACACAGCTGCACGATGCTGTTGCATGCACAAGCAAAAGAATAGAACGACATGACCACATGACCATGCACTTGTCAAGTAGAGTCGAAAGGAACTGCAAACCATATTCAGCTGCAAAATCCAAATGTCCAACTTTCCCCACAAGCGGATCCAAATTGTTTCTTTTTGCCAGATCGGATCCAGCTCGTTTTGCCTTCGTTGCTGGCTTCACATCTCTATTTGAGTCGAAAAAAACCGGGAATATGTATTAAGTAAGGAATGTTCCCAGAGGTTCAGAAATCGCTTGGCCACCGCTTGGTATTCTGGTGTTTAAAGTGGGTATGTTACTTCGTCGCGCTAGCAAAACGCAGGGTTGCGCTAGGTTCGCGCTAGGTTTGGCGCTAGGATCAAGTACTTAGGTAACTTAGAAAAGATTAACAAACAAGGGCTGATTGTAATGGTCACTCATTGGTGCACATACACACACACACACACCCGCACAGGCACAAGAGCAGCAACTGTTTGTAAGGGAGTAACTGTTTGAGAGACGAGAAAGCGAGTTCTTGATCACAGACGTTTGGTGGCCTCATGCACTGGCAGGGAAGCGCGCTAGATCCGCGCTAGACCCGCGCTAGATCCGCGCTAGACCCCTTTGCAACTTTGACCACTTGTCCAAGTGCTTTCCAGGGTGTATAGTCTTGGCAATTTGTTTCTGTGTGCAAGAGGATGGCTACTTTCAGCTTCACACTTGGAACCATTGGACTCTGTAAGTAAGAACGCAAGCTGTTAAAAGGGCATACACAACATACAACCATATACATGAGCGCATGTTGGGTACATGATGGCCACCGCTTGGAATTGCTGTGATTTCAACCTAGGATAATGATTTTAGAACGGGGCTTTCTTTTTCAACTCATTTGGAACCTCTGAATTGCTGATCTGAAAGAAGCATTATGTGTATATATATATATATATTGTTGACTGGACAGTCGCCTTCCTGCAACATGCGAACCGGCTGCTTAGATCTATTGGATCGCCCCGTATTTGAGGCTCCTGGCCCGATGTTTCCTGCGGGAAACATGGCGATGATGGGAGGAATGGGAATGCCACCTGGGCCGCCCAATGCGGGTACTGCTCCCAACATGGGATATGGCATGCAGCCAGGCACGGACCCACCTGTTCGTTTAGGTGTGAAACTTTGAGCCTTTTCTTGACAGGTGGCCTATCATCTGACGCGTGCGCCGTTTCATGTACTTTTTGCGATCCGGTTTTTTTATCATTCCCTACCGGCCCTATCCAAAAGGCCCATTTAAGACCTTAAGCCATTGCACATTGCACACGGGATGACAATGGGACTCTCTTCCCTTCCAGGTACGTTGATAAACACTTGAGGCCATTGGATGCCGAGCATTACTCGGCGGCGGGCCTGGTGCCGTGCGCCCGCAACTGATGTCGTCCTGCAGGTCCAACATGCATAACATGGCAGACCCAAAAGGTCATTTCCTGAAGCTATCCCTTGGGTGATTGGGCCAACAACTGGCGGACATCCAAATGAAGCTTACGTGCAAACGGCAAGCCAAGAGGCCATCGCTAGTAGGTTTGGTGTCTTTGCCGCCAGGTACCGAAAAAGACCAGGAGGTGGAGTTGAATTGCTGCTCGCCCGTCTTGGGCTCCAGAATCCAGATGGAACCACGTAGCGGGTTCTTAAAGACTTTGGACAACAAGGTGGTCACATTAGACATGTATGAATTCGTTATTCACATTGATTAGAATTGATTTCATGTACATTTGAGGCCTAACAAGCAACCACTTGAAGCGAGCAAAATCATCTTGGCACAAATGGCCAACCAGTTGAGCCTAAATGGTATTTGGCAGAATGTGACGTCCAAGGTGAGAAACCATGGAATTCATTCACCAACATGTATGCCGCTCGGCCCAGCAAAGATCACGCAAAATGCATCTACAGTCAAGTTGTTTTTTCGTCATGCATTCACCATCAAAAGGAATGTTTCGATCTACATAAAGGTTTCTTTGCTGCCGATGGCACTGACACATGAAGATGTTCTTGGTGGTTTGGGTTCGGGCTTTTATGTGCTGTCACAGGATCCAATAG